TAAAGAAGCGGTTTATTTGCTACTTGGTAAACTGTAACGTTGTCAGCGGCACTTGCTCTAAAAAATCATGATCAACTTCGATTTCTATTTCTTTTTCTGAACTATCGTTGTCGCAATAGGTATTATGAACAACATTGTGAGATTGTGGTTTACGATAACATTTTTCTGCTTTATGTCCATATTTATGGCAAACAGTGCACTTTGGAATAGTTAATTTAATTGGTGGATTTATCGATTGATTTGTTGAACCGGGATCAGAAAATGTTTTTTGAGTACCTGCAGTACTTGACGAAATTTTATTGTCATTATTTATATTTAATTTAGAAAACTTGTCATTTGTTTGTTTGAAATATTGTTGGTTTTCATAATTGTTTAAAATTTGCTTAATTTGAATTAACGAACTAGGATTTAAAGAGCGAAGCATTTGACACAAAGGTTCTTTTATGCCCGTAATAGCGGTCAGAATTGCAGTCTTACTGTGAAAATTATTTAAACATTTTTTCTCAACATCGTTCAAATTTGAATCGTATTTGATAACTTTATTGATTCTAATTAATTGTTTTTCAATTCTATCAACAAAATTTGTAGGTTTTTCATTAGAACTTTGCTTAAGTGACATAACTCAAAATTTAGACACTGCAAATCCAAATTTTCACCAAACTGAGAAAGGAGAGCATTTTTTATTTCGTGCCATGTCGAAAATTCTTTCGAGCCAATGAAATCAAGAGCTTTTCCCTCTAACCTGCTTTTTACAATAAAAGGAAAAATTTGCAATTCCGCTGGGTCAAATTTTGCAAAAATAAAATCAACAGAATCTATAAAATAATGTAATTTTGAAGAAGACCCATCAAAAACATTTATAAGCTTGATAGCTTTGTCACAATTAATATAATTATTAGAGGTGGTAGCGGAAATTATTGGCGTAGTTGCTGTTACGTCGTTAGTTGCCATTGTATTAACAAAAATAAATTAAACAAATAAAAAAAATGCAAATACTAGATATGATAGCTTAAAAGTTTGAAAATTGCGAAACAGAGTAAATAAAAAAATGAAAACAAATAAAAAATGAATATAATTCGACTAACCTCAAGTACTTCCGTGAGAACGTGTCGAAAACGTTGCAGCAACGTCTCAGATCAAGTGGATTTACACTGGAACGGGTAGAGAACGGGTGGAGAACGTTGTATCTTCTGGATCAACTGGGTTTTCACTGGAACTGGTTGAAATTCTAAACTGTAGAGATGTTGTTGCTTCTTCTGTGGAAATGCTTCACCGTTTCCAGGGTCGAGTGGCTTTTCACTGAAGCTGGTTGAGAAGATTTCACGAAGTTGCTAGTTGCGCCTCCCCAGAACTTCCGAATTACTTTGTGGCTTTACACAACAAGTGGCCTTACACTTGGAATTCTTCTAAGTTGCTTACGGGTTCCTTCAGTTTTCCTTCCTCGTGGCCTTACACTCGGAACTCAAATACTAAGTCACTAATTCTCCAATTTTCCAATTAACGATTAAAATCGATTAAAAAAAGGCTTTACTTCTTCTAATTGGAAATTCTACTGACTGCGCTACTTTTATTCTTTATAAAATGATATGTGTTCGATGGAGAATTAAGTAACGAAAAACTCTGAAGGAAATGCACCAATTTATTCAGATGTTTACAGTTTAGGTTACAGAATTATACTAACTTAAGAAATACACACTATATCTACAAAAAACCTCTCATAGTTCTTGATAATACGTAAACACTTAGAGATTCTCGGCATGGGTGTTTATCATCTTCCAAAGGGTCTTGAATATTGAGATGAAACACACACACACACACATGCAGTGGCGTGCTCGCCATAACATATATAGATATATAGATATATAGATATATAGATATATAGATATATAGATATATAGATATTATATATATATATTATATATATATATATATATATATATATAGATATATAGATATATAGATATATAGATATATAGATATATATATATATATATATATATATATATATATATATATATATATAGATATATAGTATATAGATATATAGATATATAGATATATAGATATATAGATATATAGATATATAGATATATAGATATATAGATATATAGATATATAGATATATAGATATATAGATATATAGATATATAGATATATAGATATATAGATATATAGATATATAGATATATAGATATATAGATATATAGATATATAGATATATAGATATATAGATATATAGATATATAGATATATAGATATATAGATATATAGATATATAGATATATAGATATATAGATATATAGATATATAGATATATAGATATATAGATATATAGATATATAGATATATAGATATATAGATATATAGATATATAGATATATAGATATATAGATATATAGATATATAGATATATAGATATATAGATATATAGATATATAGATATATAGATATATAGATATATAGATATATAGATATATAGATATATAGATATATAGATATATAGATATATAGATATATAGATATATAGATATATAGATATATAGATATATAGATATATAGATATATAGATATATAGATATATAGATATATAGATATATAGATATATAGATATATAGATATATAGATATATAGATATATAGATATATAGATATATAGATATATAGATATATAGATATATAGATATATAGATATATAGATATATAGATATATAGATATATAGATATATAGATATATAGATATATAGATATATAGATATATAGATATATAGATATATAGATATATAGATATATAGATATATAGATATATAGATATATAGATATATAGATATATAGATATATAGATATATAGATATATGGATATATAGATATATAGATATATAGATATATGGATATATGGATATATAGATATATAGATATATAGATATATAGATATTCGCTCCGTGCGTGACTGACACGACACCTACCGCCTTTTTCTGACAATTTTGGAGTCCCAATTTTCAGGTTAAACATATGACATATGTTTGACATTGTTAAATACATGCGAAATTGACAATTATTAATAAATTAGTTTTTTAACTATATTTTTTCAGTTTATGTACAAAATAAATGTAGTATTAAAAACTGGGTTTCTCAAAATTCATCATAATATATCTTTTCAACTCCAAACGTAAGAGAAAGGGAAAAATCTAGTACTGACAAATCAAGTTTTTCACGCAAAAGAGCATATAATTAAAAACAATAATAGTAAAAGTTATGATATAAAAGCTAAAGTCATCTGCAGTTATCTTGAAGCCTTATGAAATATCATTCAAGGTAAATTATTTAAATTTTTCCTATTTCATTTGCGTAAAAATAAAATGATGTGATATTTACTTTTTCATATTAATAGCAGGAATTTATCTTTTTCTTTTCTCTAATTTATATGTAATTTTTGGGAACCTATAAAAACTACACTCACTGTTTTTGCTATTATTAGTACAATTAAATTCGCAACATGTATTTGCACACATTTTTGATAAAATTTATGCGTACAAATATTTTGTCCAATATTCCAATTTTGTCATATTTCGCCGCTATGCACGCTGGCGTCGTTTCAATGTACTCCTACCATGGTCACGCACGGAGCGAATATGGATATATAGATATATATATATATATATATATATATATATATATATATATATATATATATATATATATATATATATATACTAAAGTTTTAGTTTGAGGATGCAGTCATTTAAGTAGGGCAGGATAAGTAAAACTCTTTGTTCTTAAATCAAGCTTTCGCAAAATTTATTTGCTTCATCAGGATATGCTAAAATATGTTATGGTAAATACAATGAAATTAGAATTAAGAAAAACATTGTATAAAACTATATAAAAACTTACAACATGATATATATATATATATATATATATATATATATATATATATATATATATATATATATATTTATGAAACCTAGAGGTAAAATTAAACTATTACAAAAATTAATATTAAACTCACCAGTCTTCCGGGTTGAACCATGTCGATATCCACTATGAACTAAGTGAACACTGACAAGTGTATTAGTGTCGGGGGCTTGGGAGACTGAGACCTCGGAAGCTCTGAGGAAGACATCAGAGAGGATGTCGAAAGCTCGGCCCAATGGATATCGACGCGGTTCAACCGTAAAGACTGATGACTTTAATATTAATTTTTGTAATAGTATTAATCTTAGCTCCAGTGATATTAGTGTGATATTGAACAAAAGCGTTGGTGAATAATTACAGTCCACAAAGCAGGTCATTGGGGTCAATCTATTTATCAACAAATTGGGCATTTAACCCCAGAATGATTGGCCATGGTCTACACAAAGTTTCACTAGTGCAAAAACAAAGTGGGATGAAGAATATGTATCCGATCGATTGAGACGATGTCTCTGTTGTCTATAGAACTCTATAGACAAAAGAAAAAGAATATTCTCCGTTACTTTTTTATACGTCCTTTGTCAATCCATTTTTAAGTTTTGTATAACCTTGAATTATTCGGAAAACTGTACGAACTGATATTTTTGTCAAATCTCCACACAATCCTGCAACATCCTATATTGACATATCTGGTTTTCTTTTACATAATCCCTCATATATCGACTTGATCATTTATTTTTTACTCTGCACTTATGATATAGTGGCTACTGCAAGATGCCCAAATGTTTAGGACTTTAAAAATGATTCACTGGCAATCATATTTATTTCGGGTTTAGCTTTTAAGATATCTTAAATAATATAAAAAAGACTTTTGAAAAAAGTAACTACTCAATGCATTTTGAAAAAAAAAATGTTTAATTGCATAACATTAATTTGGAACTTATTTTCCTGTTATAACATAATAATTACAATAATTAAAATCATATTGGAAAATAATACTATATAAACTAACACTAGCTCAATGATACTACACAAGATGCTGTTTGGATATCTTCAAATTGACGATGTATTCTAATTTTGTGTTTACAGGTACCTACCTATAATTCAGGAGATCCCGTCTACTACAACTTACCAATCTACGGAGCTACTTTGGAAGGTCCGCCATTATATGCTGATGCCTTCGATCTAAGCGCTAGTGGAACTTATGCGGAGGTAAACAAAAGTCTGATGTTACATAATATACATGTATATACAATACATCAAATTTAAAGGAACGCAGTTAAATTATATGAAAATAAAAGATACATTTTGTATGTAAATAATGTGTGATATTGAAAGTGCAGCACTTAGTAAAACAGGAATCTTAACGAAACTTTGGCAAATATTGTATTATGCTAAAAGTAAATTTGGTTTCAATCCGTGGTAGGATTTTTGGTAAGATTTTTTACTAACAACTGGAGTTGCTTTATATTATTATGATTTCAGGAATTTTTAAACTGATTTAAAACTGCGCGCCAAAATTAACACATAATTTTAAAATTCTAATTTCAGTCGTAATCAAAAAAAAATTGTTTGATTTTTTGTTCTTAGAGAGGTTGCTTTTAGAGAGTATCTGAAATAAAAAACTTTTTTTTTGCGAAAAATGTATTGCAATAAAACTACCTAACATCATAAATAAATTAATTACTATTTATAACTGGGAATAAGCCACAATTAAAAATAAAAATACGTTTATTGACGTTTCAATTTCCAATTCGGAAATCGTTCTACGATTTCCGAATTGGAAATTGAAACGTCAATAAACGTATTTTTATCTTTAATTGTGGCTTATTCCCAGTTATAAATAGTAATTAATTTACAATGCCACAAGAAAATAGCTTCAGAAGAATATCATAAATAAATGACGAAATTTAAAAAAATTAAAAAAACTTCAATAAAATAAACTATAATCAATCAATCAATAAAGTTACTATTGCTTAACAACGATCACTCATACTTAGAATTACCGTTCTTATTTCATCTTGATCAATTAATCCCAAATTTCAACTAATCGTAAAAACTGTTAATCTAATGCGTTTGGTGCATTAGGTAGTTGTCGTTAGTCGTCACCCTATAATGTCCTTGTTCTATTGGGTTGAGATCAGAACTTCAATCCAAACCATGGTCATGTGTGGCCCTGCATTATCTTGCATAAGCATGAAATTGTCCCCAATAAATGGTGCAAATGGCACGACATGCTCTTCTAAAATATCTGTAATGTACCTGTGTGATGTAAGCCGCCCGTGATCTATTCTTACTCCGTATGAACCTCAAAATTAATCCCACCTCACACCATTACAGATCCGCAACCATATTGTACGGTTCCTACAGTGTTACGGTGTGCGTAGCGTTCCCCAGACCTTCTGTACACTATGTTCCGTCAGTCACCGGAAAAAAGACAGTACCTGGATTCATCGGTGAACAATATTTTCAAATAATAAACAATATCGTCATTATTCCAAACAACATGTTCACGAGCAAAATGCAATCCTTGCCTTCTCTGGTCAATAATGGGCCAGTGGGTCCTAAGTCGTTTGCGACAAGTCTTCTTTTTATCGTATTTTGGTTGATTCTAAAGGTATAGCGATCCAAAAATTCATTTTGTAGAGAAGAACTAGTAAAAAACCTTTGTCTTAATCTACGAAGAGTTAAAAACCGGTCTGGACTAGGAGTTGTAATCCTTCTACCGTTTTGACCGGGTTTTGTCTAGTTACTTCCAGTAACAGTAACATGTTAAAACTCTTAAAATGGTTAACTGACATTAAACCGTTCGACAAGTTCAACTTTACGGTATTCTTCTTCGCGAATAGTACAATTCTAATACAGTCAATCTCTGACAAATTTCGATTTTCTTGCTACTGGTGGTTCATTTCAAAGGAAAACCACCACTTAGTAAACTTCTAAAACTCATTTATAACATTCGGCACAACGTATTACAACCCAACTAAATTCGAATTAAAATTAGGCACAACTAGCATGTTCTTAATTTTATTGCAAAAAATAACAAAAACTTTTGTTATTTTTTACCGTTTTTTAACGAGTTTTTTACCGTTCTTTCGATAAATTTTACAATATACAGGAGGTAACAATAATATATTACAAAAAAAAAATCGACGGTTTGCTGCATTGAAAGTGCTATATATATATATATATATATATATATATATATATATATATATATATATATATATATATATATATATATATAGTTCGGAAAGATTTCCGCGGTTAGTACAATGAAACCTAGAGCTACGATTGATATTATTACAAAAATTAATATCAAACTCACCAGTCTTTCGGGTTGAACCGCGTCGATATCCATTTTGCCGAGCTGTCGACATCCTCTCTGATGTCTTTCTCGGGGCTTCCGAGGTCTCAGTCTCCCGAGTCCCTAGACACTACTACACTGTTAACTGATCACTACACTACTACGGCTGGGAACAGGAGACCGTATGGCGTTATCTTTTTTATTAAGACAGTTTGGCCTTTTTTCTATTTCTATGGCTTCTCGGATAATTCTTGGTTTATAGAAGCGGATGGGGGCTATGGTTCTGGAGTTTTCAAAATCAATTTTGTGACTTGTATGAAGATGGTGTTGACCGAGAACTGAAATTGAATCAGAATGGCGAACAGAAATGGAATGTTCATAAATCATATTTTCGATTCTGCGATTTGTTTGACCTATCTAGGATCGGGGACAGTCTGCACAAGGAATTTCATAAACTCCATGATGTTCATTTGGAATATTGTCTTTGATTGATCGGACAAGAGATGAAAGTTTTTGTTGGGGAGTAAATATTGTTTTTATTCGTCTTGGTTTAAGAATTCTGTCGATTTTGTCAGTGACACCTTTGATATAAGGAAGAAAAGCTTTCGTATGATAAGGGTTTGAGTCTTTGGGTTGAGATTGAGTGGGATATTGATGTCTGTGAATGCTCCTATTGATGTGATTTTCGCGGTAACCGTTTTGGATTAGAGCTTGTTTTAAACAAGAGAGCTCAGCGGGTCTACTTGCATCATCGGAAAGGCGTATTGATCTGGAGACAAGGGTATTAATGACTGAATTAATTTCTGAAGGTGGATGGTGAGAGTTGGCATGCAAGTAACGATTGGTATGTGTGGTTTTTCGATAAACAAAGTAATGGAAACCTTGAGATTGGTTTTTCTTGATGAAAACATCGAGAAACCTGTAGGGATGAATCAGTTTCCATCTCCATCATAAACTGGATACTAGGATGTATACCATTCAAATGAGTTTGGAAAGACACTAAAGCATCCCTGCCATGGGGCTAAATGACGAATGTATCGCCAACATATCGTAGCCAGCATGTGGGCTTGAGCATTGATGTGGATAGTGCTCGGGTCTCGAAGTCTTCCATAAAGATATTGGCAATTACTGGAGATAGAGGGAAACCCATTGGGGCACCATTTATTTGTCTGTAGAATTTATTTTGAAAGATGAAATAGGTGTTGGACATACAATGTTTAATGAGAGATAAGTGGTCTTGTTGAATACTGTATTTAGTTTTCAGAAGTTTCATCTATAGGAATGTTTGTAAAGAGTGAGACAATATCGAAACTTTTTTTGGCCAAGTATTTGGCCAAAATTCTACAACCTTTCGCCGAAAATGCCTTCGTCAAAAACTCTTTTCATTTCATTGAACTTCTTAAATAATACCCTATATCACCGTCAGACATTCTAGTAAGTTAGTAGTAAGTAAGTCAGTCATATATATACAGGGTGGGCCGCCGGTAACGCCTCGGTCTGTACAGCCGAAACAAGTATTATTTTCAAAAATCGGTTTACGCTACGAGGTCTAGATTCAAAAAGGCTACTTTTTAAAAATAATTTCAATTATACAGGGTGCTCCAGGAAAGTGCTACACATCAAAGTTATGTTTTTTTAAATGGGACACCCTGTATTTTATTGCATTTTTGAAGTCTAAGAACAAAATAAGTGACACTTTGTTAAAGGTTTGTTATACTTAGAGTCTACCGTTTTTGATATATCCAAGTATTTTTAAAAATAAGGGATGTTTAAAACATGCGAATAACTCCTAAATTTCCTAATATTTAAAATTAATTTTTTTATGGAAAATTAAGAATTAATTGTACTCTAAAATCAAATACTTACTATTCAAAAATATTTTACAGGGTGTTTGCGAATTAGATATTTATTAGTGGCACATTTAAACATTAAAAACTGCTCTATTTTAAATGTGACACCCAGTATATTTTTTAATTTTATGAAAGATATTTCAAATACCTTTCAAAAAATATAAATATTCCCTATACCCATATTCAACAGTTTTGGATATAAAACCAAAATTGTTATTTAAAACTAAATTTTCACAAATTTTCATAAAAACTAAATTATAATTAAAAAAAAAACAAAAAATTAATCCACATAAATTTAATGGTGCTTAACAAAAAGTGTAGGCTGCTAGTTTTGGACTATGCCATCATCAGGTTTGACAATAATAAAATTATATCTGGAGTAAGTTGATCGTTTAAGAATATTATTTTTCTTCCTCTTCAAGTGCCGTCTCCATCAATGGAGGTTAGCGGTTATGGTGGCAAACGTTTGTCTATCTTATATTATTTTTGGTTCATCAAAATCATCAAGTTTTAATGTATGTACTTTACAGAAACAAGTGTTCACTTACTTAGATGTATAATGTATTTTGTGCATAAAATAATTTTACAAAATATCAAAACTTTTTGAGTTACCAAAATATTAAATAAAATAAAAAAAATCTCAAATTACATTCTTAAAATAAAAAATATTACTGAAGAGTTATGGGATTGAATATTAAAATAACAAGAAACTATTTTTGAATTTACTATGACAAAAATAAAAAATAGAAAAATAATAAAAGCTGGCTTACTAGCATACAAAGGCAAACAGGAAGAAGGAAAAAAATCAGTAATATTAATACAAAGATGTTCTTAGTCTAATAAATGTTCAAAATGATGACCATCTGTTTGAATACACAGTGTAATTCTCCGTTGAAAAGAACTTTGTACTCTTCTTAACATATCCGGAGTAATTGCTTCAAAAGCATTCTTAATTCTTTGCTTCATATCTTCTGCTGTGGTGGGTGGGGTGCTGAACACAAGATTTTTAATGTAACCCCATAGGAAAAAATCCAGTGGATTTAAACATGGTGATC